CATCAATTCCCATGGTAATTTCAAATTAAAACTGTTATTTCATGGAAAAATGTATTTAATTTATGTGACAGAGAAATCTGCATAACTTCAGGCAAGCAGCCAATTTATGACTTTTAAACATATTGTCAGGGCAACTTTATTATACTCATGAGACTATTTCTGCTGAAATTATGCATAGTGCCCTAAAAGCAATAATAGTGTTAAGCAATATTTAATTTAGAGGTAAAGAACCAATTAATATTTGTACTGCTAAGCATGCATTTATGCATTTTGTGTTTTCTTTTTTACTCTTCTTGTATTTACCCTGTGTTTATAGCAGATGAAAAAGAGTTATCAGTAGGACTTAAGAAGTAACCCCTGTTAAACTACTCAAAACTTTTATAATAAATCAAATGAGACAGATTTGAGATGTATGGAAAATAATGCTAATGAATTTATTGTGAATCCTTTAAAAAGAATATAAAAATCTGGTCTTGGGTCTAGTCCTCCTGGTTAGTGAGGATATTGCCACTGTTCTCAGAGGGCTGATTGGAATGTACAGTGAATTATTGTAGTCCAAACTTAATTATTGTCATTATCTAAAACTGGCATGATTCTTGCCTTTTTTTACATGAATGTATATCAATTAGTTAAAATGGAGTTAATTCTGGTTTAGATTGGTATAAAAGAGAACAGAATCTAATTACATTCACTTTAACGTTCCACCATTATGTTATAATGTTATTTAATAAATGTTTATGGACTGGGCTGTAAATCAATGCAAGTTTAATGCTAAGAAACTTAGAATTGAGAACATGATTGAGTCAAATGGGACTATTAACCTTTATAAGGAAAACTGTGATTATGCAATCAAATTTATGTAGTGAGTCCTTGATAGACACATCAGAAAATCTACTAACATTGGGAGCTGAATATTAGCTATCTTTACTCTGTTTCCTTTATAAAATTGAACAGAAGCATTTGAAAGATCCCCTAACAGAGTTTAAAACCAACCCCCCAAAACAAAACAAAAACCCCAACCAACCAAGCAAAAAACCCCAAAACAACAACAAAAAAACCAAACACCAAACCAGTGGAACTTAGGCACTGGAAATGTTTGAGTATTTTACTCATAAGCCCTTGAGCAAGTATAAATGTGCTTGGACCAACCAACGGCATGCAAAAAACTAACACAGAGAGACTACATATAAAAAAAAAAAAGTCTTAACCATCTGGTGGAGTTAATTGGGGTGTAGTCATGAAAGGTTTGGGGTTTTTGGGGGTTGGTTTTTTTGTGGTTTTTTTGGTTTTTTTTTTTTTTTTTACAACTTGTGTGCAGTAGCCTGCATTTTGCATGGGATAGGATGAGTTTTAGTACATTTCTTATAATGTAATTTCAACTTTTAAAATTTCTTCTTTCCATTTCAAATTCTAAAACTAAGTGTTCTGTAGGTTAACTTTTTAAATTACAAGCAGTCAATAACAAAATTGTACTGTGAGCAATGTCTGTGTAGTTCCTGTAAATTCTAAGTAGACAGCTCCCATATTCTTGAGTTACAAACAGAAGCGGGGATAGCTTTCAATATATACTTTGTGTTTCTTTTTCCTATTGGTGAATTTTTCATGGACTCCCATTTCTGTTCCATATAATACCAGAGTATATTTGTCACAGGATCATCTTGGACATGAATCACCTCTTCCAGGTCTTATTTCTTTCTATTATCTTTATAGGGATCCTACCATCACTAGCTTTCCAATTTATGTACTCTAATGAAGAATCTAAATTATGTGTGATGAATCTGGGACAGATAACTCCTGTGACGCTGTGAGATTTGTTTGTTTAAAATCAGGCTGACAAGGCATTTAAGCATGCACTTTTTTTACTGCTCAATAAAGCAGTTAATCATATTTTAAAGTATAAGTGTGGATCGAAGTACTTTATTGAATCAGATCCTTTGAAGTTCACTGACCTGTAGTAAATTGGGAATTTCATAGCTGACTGTACAATTAAACTTTGACTCCAGGGGATATTTAGGTTTAAATTTCTCATTGGAAAGTAGTTTTGAAGTGAGCTTTTTTTCCTCCTGACAAATGCAAAGAAGCTGTGAAGAGGTTAAACAAAAATTTTATTCTGGAATTCAAATTGAACTTGTACGCACTATTTTTCTCATTTATTTCTCTGCTTCAGTTAGAAGTATATTGGTTCATAGCGGAACTTACAGTTAATCTTTGAACCTTCAGCGAACTTTCTTTCACTTCTAGGTTCTATTCATATAAAAAAATACTTTGTTTCATTTGTTCCAGTCTCTTCTGAATTATCTTTAAAAAGATAAAGGGAGACAGCAACATCGTATAGAGATATGTTCTACAAAATCCCATTAGTACTGAAAGCTCACTCTGTTGATGCCTGAAGTATTAAATTTGGCAACTATGGAATGCTTTCTCACACCAATAAAGTGACTTTCATTGAAAGTAACTGAGACAGAATCACAAAAAATAGATACTGAAAGGCCTATTCAATTACCAAGAATACCCCTCTGCTTATTGTACTATACTCATTACTGCTGGAATGATGGTCAAGATTCCCAGTTGCCATATACTGGCACAGCCCCACTGGAGTCGCAGTGCTTTTTTGCTTCATGTTATTTGAAGATTTGCCTCCAAATCTGATGATATAAAATAATCTGTGAATTGGAAACTTCCTTAAAATTTAATTCACAGTATTATGTCAACAAATAAGTGTCATATTTTACAAGCAGGGCTTTGCTAGGAGCATAATAATAAAATGTGGGTATTTAACCGACTTGTTCTGTGTTGGATGTGTTTTTAACACTTTCCAGAGGAAGAAAGCAAAGAGGCATCTCTTAATATATAAATTCAGGGGCCTCCATACATTATCACTAACTAGTTCTCCCAAAATGACGATTTAGAGTCTCTTCTTTGTGTATCAGATTCCACTTATGCTTCCTGTGGAGTCTGCTTCCACAGTCAGATGTGATTAATCCTCCATTCATCAAAGATTTTTGGAAATGGGAGATTTCACTTCTTTTCTTTTGCTTTTCTAAAAGCCAGTACTCCTCTATCTGGGCTTGACCCTTGCATTTTACTTGCAGGTTTCTTGCTTAGTTAGTTGTAGGAATGGAGCAACATAGATACCTAATGTAAATAATTACTTCCTAAGATATATACAAGCTCGTACTGGGTTCAGTGGTGGTGATAACTTTGGAAAGACCAAGCCTTATTCTCATGACCCAATTTAATCTGGCTTGGGAAATTTGCAGCTAATTTGGAATTTGTGTATTTCACCCTGTGAGCAGCAACCACATCCATCTGTTTCATCATGTAAAGGGTGGAGACAGACACTTTGATGGTGATGGCTAAATGTATATAGTGGTGCGTTATTCTGAATGAATGGTCTGAACGAGAGGTCTACACGGACACACTAAAGAGACAGCATCTCAAAACAACATTACAGCCAGACAGTTGGGATACAAATGATCTATGCAATATGGTCATACAACTGCACATCACACATACATGATGCAGAGATGGCTATGGAAAATACTCACTTTTTCACTTGATTCTGCTTCCTTTTGGCTTCTGCACCCCTTTGGTGCATAGCAGGGAAGTAGGTATTTGTATTTAGTGGAAGAAATTACACCAACTAACAGACACAAGCATTTTACTCATAAATTTATCATAGACTATTGCTGAGTAGACTGACAGACAAGCACTACAAATGGTGCATTAAACATTTAATGAACCCAGGCTGAACTCCTGCTCCTACTGAAGCCAATGGAAGTTATGCACTTTTTTCTTGTGGGGTGGGGTGGGTACAGGGGGCAGCATTTTATGTTGGTTTCTAATTGTTTGTTAATCACTTAGTAGAAAATTAGAAATGATGCCTTGAAGGGAGCATCCTTTTCCTTTGTGCAATTACTTCATAGACATTAGAGTTCGCCACAAGGAAAATACGGTGTTTGACAGAGGCTGAGGAGGAGATTGCCAGCCCTGGTTTCCAAAGTAGATCACGATATTTCTATAATGTGTATTAGTGCAGTGCATCTGCAATGCTTTGTAAGAGAAGTATGTGCTGGCCTTGTGTGCATCTTAAATACTTTCAAAAACTACAGCAGCTGTTACCATAAAACAGGATTGTGGATTTTGTTGAAGGCTCTCGCATAAGAACAACTATGTGCTAAGATTACTTCCATTAAACCTCCTGATAAGTAGGAGCAGCTTGTGTGCACTAAATATTAACAGTAAACTAAATGCACTTGCTTGGGGAACAACTTCATGTACGTGAGTGACAGGAGGGAATAAAATCCACTCTAGTAGTGGGATGGAAGTGCTGTGTTTCATGGTAGTGTTCAGTTCCTGTCTTCAAAAAATTAACGAAACCACCTAAGGTTCGATGGCTACTCCAAGGTGTAAGGTTTAGTGTGATGACATCACATCCTTCCTGCAGCTGAAGTTGTAGAAATGAAAGCAATGAGGTGTGCAAAATAACGTATTCTGACCTGGGCCAGGAGTAGAATCCCGGCGAGAGCTTATAGGGGTGCGATCTGAGATATTGAAAATGATACTACTGTGCAGTGGTTGTTTCTTATCTTATATATGCATTGCAAATGAACGCTTGTGGCGTGAACATCGATGGCATGAATTATAACAGAAACTTTAAGTTGGTTTTAAGTAGCTTTCTGGTAGCTGGCATATACCGTACTTCCCACAGATCCCTTTAGCTGGGGGGAAAATGCATTTTCGTTCAAACGTTCACGTCAACGCATCTAAGCCCCCAAGCGATGACATTATTTCCCCCGTGCCCGCGAGGACACCGGTGCCGTTGGCGCGAGGTCCTCCAGCAGACGGGCTCGGCCAGCACGGCTGGAGCCGAGGGGGCAGGAGGGGAAGCTAAGGAGCGGGGAGGGTCCCCGCAGGCCGTGCGCGCCCTCCGCGCCTCCCCTGCGGCCGCCGACTCGCGCCCTGTCCGCGGCCTCCTCAGAGCCCCGCGCTCCGCCCACCTGTGATGTCATAGTAAGGAGGGGCTTTTCTTCTGCAGACTCCTCCCTCGGAATCTCCTTCATCACCATGGCAACAGCCTTATCTGCCGCCCTAGAGCCTTTCCCCTACAACAGCGAAATCAACAATGGCGCGAGTCAGCAGCGGGCCTGGCAACAACCGCTTCCCAAAAACACACCCCAGAACCATCCAGTCATTCAACTGACGGCGTTTACGGCTGGAAGCGAAGCTTGGCTGGAAGTAGAATACACAAACACGCTTTAAAAATAATAATAATAATAATAAGTTATCTGTGAACCTGTTAGTTAACAATGCGGTTGGGGTCTAGCCGTAGTCTTGCGACTCGTTAGAGCTGCCCCAGTGAAGTCAACGGGAATACGGCACTGCCTGGCCGGGGCAGGACTGGCTGGAAATACTCCAGTGCAAACGGAGGGATTCGGACCTTCTGCGGGGTAAGATCTCCATAAGAGTAGGGTCTGGAGAGTCAGCCCCTTGATTCAATTTTGCTTACGCAAAAGTTTATATCTGAAATGCCTGGGTTTTGCTTACAAAAGCTGATTTTGCAAATAAAGCACGGTTCCTTGTAGTTCACTGAGGCAAACTCTTCCTGAAATGTGAACGTATAACCCGCAGGGCTGGGCCTGCAATGTTTATAGCTCTAGTAACACTTTAAAAAGCAATTTACATCATATAAACAGTCTGGGTTTTTGCTAACAGAATATACGGAGCCAAATTCTGCCATCATAGGCATTGCTACAGTTCTCCCCAAAATGGCCACTGTTGTTGAACTTACTGTGAGGATTTTCATTTTTAAACCTCACTTTTCTTAAAGTTCGCTTAATAAATGGTAACTATTCAAGACAAAGTTAAAAGGGTATTTATCTTCTTGAATTCACATGGATTTCTGTATTTTGATCTCTTATACGCTTGCAAGTAACAGAGAACGTACTGAGCGTACACGTAAGGCATAGCAGCAGAACTGTATTATGCTAGTGTCCCTGGGCATGTCCTTACTATTATACTTTAAAAGTTCCCATTGATTTCTGTAGAAGTTTTAGCTGTGCGAAGACTGCAGGATCTGGCTCCATAAAAGCAGTATTTTACACTAGACTTTAAATATAGTTAATCCTTAAAAGCCTATTAACGGAAAGGATTCTTTACTGCAACGTCATATGCTAGAATTATTCACTAGCACTGTATTCTGTGTCCAATAAAAAAACCACTATTGCTTATACTGAACTACAGGTTGTTTCAGAAACATTTCATCAATTGCAGGTAAAAACATGATGTACTATTGCGGGTTTTAAACAGATTTTATTAATCATCACTTCAATCTTAGGTTAGCTTGCTTGTGCAACACATCACAGTTACCCTACAGAGAGTTCTTTGCATGCTGCAAGAAATTCTCAGAGCAGAAGTGTCATAAACGATAAGCATGCTGGATTTGTGATGCCTTTGATATCCAAAGAACTGCAAAGTCATTGTAAATTTAAATATATTTAATTCAATGAGAATTACTTCTAATTGGTAAGCATATCAAAGGTTCTTGGCCAATTACGTATTTACGCTGTTCATGATTCGCATGACATGTTCCAGGTCTATGAAGCTTGTTTCTAGTATGACGCATGGAGCTATCATTAGCTAGCACTAGTAACATGCTATTTGATCTTTATAAAATGTAGTCCTTTTGTGCCGAGTGCTAGAACAAAATAGTTTATCAGCTAGAAAGGATGCATTGGAAAGCATGCAGTGCTTTTATTTCTTGCAGAGTAAAAACCCACCAAAGCAAAGGTCAGGTCACTTTTTTGAAGACAGAGCCACTTTTTCTTCAAGGTTTCACCTACTGCCTGAAAAGAGTCATGATACTCATATTAGTACCTGCTGTTAACCTTTCATAAACATAACTCTGCAAAACCCTGGGAGTGGTTGATACCATATATAAAATCTGTCTCATCAGTTTAAAGTGGCTATAGTACAATGTAGAATAGTAACGTGATGAATAACTCTGCTATTTTTTTACGAGCAGACGTCGTATATTTGCTAGTCAAAGCAAGTGGTTTGATACTACTTTTTTATTAGATATTTCTTTTAGCTTTCCTAAAAGACTACATGTAAGTCAGGTTGATTTATTTCTGGCTACTCAGCCTATGGTATGAAAAACATTATTCTGAAACTAGAAGTTCGTAGGCAATTTCCTGGATACCAGAGAGAAAGGCACTGCAGTGAAATAGCTTAAATTCTCGGATTCTGGTCGAGAGAAACACAGGTAACCAATTAATTGGAAAAGCCAGGTTTTTATTCTGGTGACTAGAAATGGATTTTGTTGTCCAATGTAAGGTATGTAAGCTTGAAAATTTTGGTCTCTGTTTGCTGTAGTGAATACTATATATTAAATCCTTGCCTATGAAGTGATTAGGCAGAAGAATTGGAGAGGAATAAAAACGGTTTTTCTAAGACCAGGACAACCTTATTACTGTTGTGAACTGCAGCTGACATGATAATCTCTAGTGCATTTATTACAATAACCGTTGAAGGATTTTTCTTTTCCAAAAAAAAAAAAAAAGATGCTATTTACTTGGCCTCCTTCAATATTGTGTTGTTTCTTAGCGTTTTGGCTTGTATGTATTTATCTGTTACAGTAGCTTATTGCTCAAACCCTGTAATTCTTCAACAGCTAATCTTACACTTGCCAGGTCTTTAAAATGAACAGTTTGTTGATAGTGCAGATTTGCAAGCTAAGTTATTTTCTCATATAAACAACAGTTTAATAATTTAGTAAATTAATTTCATCATTGCCTATTTGCAATATATAGATGGAAACAACTGTGATGCAGAGCATGACAACCTACGTACAAATCAAGACAAACACAAATTGATGAAGGAAAAATATATTATTTGTTTTCATGGAACATACTGCTTAAGAAAAACTGAGAAACATGCCAGTATTTTGTTATTTGATACACTTAAAAGGGAACAGTTCCTTTAGATGATGTCTCCAGAGCAAAATGAGTGGAGTTCAGAGTATTCCCATGATGCTAAATATTGATAATAGAGTTGGGTTAAAAACTTAATAACAGTTTCTCTAGGTTTATCCCTTGGGGTCACATAAGGGGTAGTAATAGACATTTCCAAAGAAGTATGCCGATTTGGCAGGATTTTGTAAGAAAATACTCTTATTTTTTTTGCAGCTGGTATTTCTGAATAGTTCAAAATTAAATTTTGTATAAGTCACACTATTTAGATGTAGTATTTAGTAGTAAGCTACTGTAAGAGCATATTAACATAAATTTCTAGGACAGCACACAGTTTTGTTTTGGTTTTTTTTAGATCAGTGATGCATATAGCTTTGTAACTGTGCTTATGTACGATAAAGCTTTTCTTCTTTAAATAATGGGACTAATAGATCGCCTCCAAGTCATGATGGACAGATTAGTTAGAATGAATACATGGTCATACTTGAAATGTTACTGTTTGGTGAAATACTATATAATTCTGTAATTCTTTTCTTCATTACAGTTGTTTGCAAATTTGTTCTTGTATATGAAAAGCCAATGGCCAGTGCCTTGTAAATATTTAACATTTTGACAACAGTATTTAAATTATAATGATTAATTACAGAAATTCTTTATCATCTTCTATGCAATAAAAGGATTTTATCTAAATCCATAATATAATTAGAAGTTTGCTTTTGACAAATATTTAAGGTACTTGAGTACCAAATTCACGTTTCAGGAATATTTATACCACTTATTCTTGTGAGAAAGTGAACAGAAGAAATTGAGTGAGTGGATTTTTAATTTTTTTAAAATATGTATACATGGAGAAAGACATTCTGCCTTTATGTAAACCTGTGCTGTTCCATTTATTTTCCAAAGGTCCTTCCAAGCTGTTTCAGCTTTACTTGACACACTACAATGCATCGCTATTCACTGAGCTATTGGAAATCATCTCAACATGGGCATGTTTAAATTTAAGCTTATGTCAATTTGAAGTTTTAACACAGCTCCCCTTGTAAAGAAATTTGATAGAAAAAACTGATATGCAGACAGTGCTAGTACTTGTATGATATGATTACTGATTTCATGTGGCATCTCTTCTTTCTAGTTGAGGAGACACAGAATAATAACTTGCTATATTTATGAATATAATGCTAAAAAAGTGACCAGCTAACCTGAACTTTTTACATTGGGCTATTGAATTGAAGTGTGCTTAAAAACAAAACAAGAAAAAAACCACCAGGTACTTTCAGTCCAGAGTATCTTGAAGTGCTGATCTGCTCTTCTAATAGCTTTAATAGGTTGGGAAGGGGTTTTATAAAGCAAACTTTATGAAAGATGCATTAGTGGTAACTTTTAAGTTATAGTAGCTGTAGTCCTATGTCAGGAGAAAGAACAGATAGAACTGCTGTATGTGTTGAACTTGGAAAGCTTGGCTGCTGTCCAGATCTCCAGGCAGCTGATATATTAGACTTACAGTACCAATTAAGCAGCCTATTCAAAATGGCTTTATGCACCACAAATCTTTGTGTTTTGTACAATTTAAAAATAAAAATGAAGTGACAAACTTGGCTTTGCCATTTAAAATTGTGCAGTGCTAACATTTTTACCTCTCAAAATGAGCACACGCAGCTAAGCAATGGTACTGTGAGCGTTCTAGTGTCCACAATACAACTGTGAGCTCTCGATTTCATATAGGATCTGTGTTTATTGGTTTGTATTTTTCCCTTCTCAGGCTCTTCTGTTCATGTTTTCTCCGTATGTCTGTCTTTTCATCATCTATGCTTTTCTACTATTTTCTAGTGGTGTTATATCTTGCATCTTATATATCATTAAAAATAATGAGAAAACATATGGTGAGGCAGTTTTATGAACCAATACACGAAGGCTATTTAAACAGAAAATTCTGGTTTTCATCAAAGCTGTTGGTCGTTTTTTATTATGAGCTTAACAAAGTGAGGTAAATATCTAAGGTAAATGGGAACATAATTCCTTTAGGCAGTGCTCAGTTGACTGTGGTGTGGAGACACGTGAACAAGCTATATGTCCTGAACTGGAAGCAGTATTGTCAAGGTAGACCAGCTTTCAGGACTTGAGCTAGTATTTCCATATTGTACTTGCATCCTTTGGAACCTCTTATCAAGTTTTTTGTTAGTGATGGTCCAACCTCTCTTGACTCGTGCCCTTTAGTAGTTCATTCTTATGAGATTATGTTGAAATACAGATAGTGTTGGCTACAGAGAAGGAATTGGGTTTAGGAAGGCTTGCCTAAGAAGTAATTTACAGTAAAGCAGCTAAATCCATATTGGCTGAGTTCAAAGCATACTACTCATCTTTCATTCCTTTCTTTTTTCATTCTTGCATTGATGGAATAACAGATATCAATATTAATATGGGAAGACTTTTCTTGCGTATGAGAAAACTGGCAAAGAAAGAGATAATAGCTGATAAAAGGTAATCAGCACAAACATTCACATTTACTTTCGTTGGGCTGTGTCTTATGTCCATTTAAATGTCAGTATTGTGGTTAAATTGCATTCCAGTTTGAGAAGCTTTTGCATTGAAATGGCATCGTTAGGTTTTCCGTTTATTGATCATCAGTAACTGTTGCATTACGTGTGCTCCCTTTAGAAGTTGTCTTATTCTGATGCCTGTAGATTAATTCTGAAAGCCAAGTGGGACTGCTTCCAAAGAGTGTCCGGTGAAAGCTCTGCAAGACCCATTCTGCTCTCAAGAACTTATGCAAAGTTACTGTACTTAATGCATCTGAACACATTTTATGACTAGAAATTAATAAACAATTCAGTCAGGCTAATAGGATGAAAATGCAGTGAAACTAGGTTGCTTTTTTACTCTTAAGTCAAAAAGTTTTATTTGGAATATACATAGGGAGCATATCTTTTGAGCAAGGTAACACTTTCTGATTTTGGAACAATAATGTTGACTGAACTGTAAATAGTAAATCCAGCCTGGAATATAGAGTAAGGTTGGTAAGAAGAGCAAGGTCTGGCACAGAACTAACTACTTAAAGGTTTTTTAAGGTTCTGGTCCTTTTATGAACAAGTTATGTAATATAGCTGCCTGTGATAGGCTTGGATGAGACATTTTGCAGTCCTTCCTTTCTATGGAAGCGTCATCTTTTAATAAGGCCATTGTGAATATGCAGAAACTATTTTTTTAGCACTTATTTGATTTACTTGAGAATTTGGAACTGCATTATCAAAGGGGCAAGTTGTTTGACTGCATAAGGTATTTGACTTCAAAAATTTCGGGGAACAGCTGTAGAATTTCATCTTTGCTTAGTCTGTGTCAAGGAACATTGTGAAGTCATTGGATTTAGCAACTGGTAATTTCAAATTTGTTTGGTAGTCTTCTGCAGAAAATTAATACTAAAGTATTGTCTCTCAGTTGGGGTTCGTTTTGTGTTGACTTCAGTATCATGAGCCCCAATCATAACATCCATGTAATAACAACACAATTAGTTTATTACTATGATAATGCATGTACTGAATTAGAATAAGGCATTCCTGTAGTACTAGTTCAAGTGAAATTCAAGGAGCTCAGATCACTTTCAAAACAAATGGATTGGTGACTAATGTACTGTCCATTGTTTAAATGTGTGTTTACTGCACACGTGATGTGTAAACTGTGTATTTTGCTCACTTCGTCCCACCAAGTAATGCATGTTCTTTAAAGTGGTCAGGGTTCCACATCTCTGAAAGCTGCTACACAGTTTTTAATGGCTTTTTGTTCCTGAAATGTTCAGAGAACTCAGACTAACAGTCTGCGGCAAACATAGTAAGATTAAAGGCTATACAGTAAGTCTGACTTGCTACTTTGATACACGT